GTTAGACAGAGGGCGGGGGGGGGGGGGGGACGATGCCAAGCCAGAGGGGTGGGAGGTGCCCACCTAAACGAATGGTGACAATTCATTCTCCCCCTTCCAGAACTACTAAGCCCAGCTGACCGCAGTCCCAACCTGTGTCCCTCCATTCAAGACAGCCTCGCAAGAAGGAACGCCATGAAGTAACAGGCCCCCCAAGGACGTCTCCTAAGGGGGGGGGTCACTCCTCACGCTGCATCCAGGGAGGACCAGACGTGTCCTCCCGGGAAACAGACCTGTGATTTTTCCTGGAAGCCAAATGAAATGCACAGCCGCAGGCTCTAAGCCAGCTCATCCCAGGAGTCCTGGCTTCCAGCCTCCCCCCGCCACACACACTAACCCTTGGACTTCACTTCCTCTCCCCCAAACAAGGAAGGAACCCAGGAGTCCTGACTTCCAGCCTCCCCCCTCCACACACACTAACCCCTAGACTCCACTTCCCCTCCCCCTGCACTCTAACCCTTAGACCTCACTTCCCTTCCCCCAAACAAGGAAGGAACCCAGGAGTGCTGACACTAGACAGGCCCCCACACCTCACCTGCTCCCTGTTCCTGGCCCAGAGCCAGGCCTCCTAGTTCTGAGCCCATGCACCCCAGCACTAACCCCAGAGCCAGGGCCAGCTCTCAGTCTAGCTCCCCTACTAATGCACTAAATTCCAGTCCCCTTCCCTAATGGGATAGAACCCAGAAATGTTGACTCCCACGCCCTCTAACCACTAGTCCTCCCTCCCTCCCTGAGCCAGGGGGAGAATCCAGGATCCCAACAGGAAGGAGAGCCAGAGAAATGGGGTGATCAGCTCTTCCCAGAATCCCCCTCTGGGCTCCATCACACGGAGACGCTCCCTTGGCTTTACCCCGTCCCAGAAGCCTTTGAGAGGACTGGTTCATTAGAACCAGCTGCTTGGGTTTGGGGTTCTTTTCCCCCTCTCCCATCATCTCCTTCCCACAGTCCAATTGCCCGGAAGATCCTGCCACACGCAAGCCGGAGGAGGAAGCTCAGGCGGCCGACTGCCCTGGAGCAAAATTTCCTTCCTAGCTTTTCCATCCTTGTGTGCATTTGTTTCCGGCCAAGTGCAGAATCAGGCGGACGTGCACCACCAGCCGAAACAAACCATCTAGCTGTAGGTGCTCTGCTAATCAGCTGGACCTACCTGCCGTAAGAGCAGGCGTGGGCGAAATGCACTTTGTGGGGAGCAGGATTGGGTGAGGGGAAGGAAAACACCCAATCTCTCGTCAGTTTCCCAAGAGGAGCGAAGACCTCTCCTGGGGTAATAAAAGGGGCCTGAAATTAATATTTAATCCATTATTTAATTAACAATTGTCTGAATTCCTGCAATTGTCTGAATTCCACTTATGAATATATACGATCTACAAGCCGACCTTTTTTGTCTGTTTTGGTAGCCTGGGGGGGGGGTGGATCTGTCTCTCTCCTGAAGGACTGACGGGAAGGAGCTAAGGTTTTGCGTGTGGCAGTGGTGATAGTGGGTCTTGCAGGACAGGAGCCAGAAGACCCACGCAGGGAGGAGGGGGGCTGTAGGATTTGTGGGGCCCTACCCGGTACGATTACACTGGTACCCCTAGGCCGGAGGGCAGACCCGGGGAAGGGGGGAGAAGATGATGACGTTTTAGAGCTGTGATTCCATAGTCTTCACCAGCGCACTGAAGAAATATTTTCAAAACCAATTTTAAACTAAGGTCCCGTCGACGAACACAGAACATTCCGAAAGTGACAGGATAGACCTGGGCTTGGCAAAGGCCTGTTAAATGTTTTCATGGCCCCTTGAGTGGCTTTTTCACTGGGGTGGAACACACCCATGCTGTACAGGGATCTTTCGCCCCGTGCTAATGTAAGCGGGGGAATGATCCCGCTATTGTGGGGAACTTTCCTGGCTTCTATACACCCCGGTGAAATGAACCAGCGAAAGGATCTGAGTCCCCGCTCCCACTTCCTTTACCCCACGGCTTCCCTGATCCTGAGGGCTCCCCCTCCACTCTCCTGAG